AGCATCAGGCTGCTCCTGCTGAATGTTCTCTCTGGTCAGCTCAGAATCAGACCTGGGTGTGACTCTCAAGAGGAGGAGAATCCCTTGTATATCCAGGGCTTTTTTTGTCATAGAACACACCAGAATGGCATTCCAGCACCATTTTTTGATGGATTTTTCCAAGTGATTGTAAATCGCCCTGTCGGGCGTAGCAGATCGGCAGCAAAAATCATTAACATAGTACCTGCGGGCTGCTTGTGTGTTGGCGCTGATTGTCCACGCTGCCCTGGTCTCTCCCCTTCTCCTCCCAAAGCTTTTCCCATTCGGCATTCCCGTCTCCCGCCCAGGTGGGGCCCAGACCTCTTCTCCAATAAACAGCCGCCTCCCCTACTCTCTGCTTTCCATGCCTCGCGGTCTCCCTGCCGGGACAACCCACCTGTTCTGCCCGGGTCTGCTCCCAGCCCGCTTGTCTGTGGACAAGGGCCACCTCCTCACCTTCCCCCATCCTGGCAGCTTGGGCATTTCCCTCCCAGGGCGGCATTTTCTTTGCAGGAGGTGAAATCATTTCACTCCCAGAGAGAACCGTAATGTGGGGAAGGCCACACTGAGATGATCTTGCCCCGTGCTGGGGAACTTGCAACCCTCCAGATCTGGGGAATTGCTACTCCCGTCTTACTTTGCCAGTGGGTAGGCAGGCTGGTTGGGGCTGATGGAAATTATAGCCCAGCAATGTCTGAGGATGTGTGTGTGGGAGGCTGCAGGTGCTTCTGCTGCACTCTGAGCTTGAGAATGATGCAAGGGAACAGCCATACATTCGCTTTCTTGCATGCGCGCACACAAACCCCCCTGCAGTCTGAAATGTTAGAACCCAGCCAATTGAGAGACTCTGCAGTGGGGGCGGTTTGCTTGTGGCCATCCAGATGTTGCTGTGCTCCATTAGTTTGAGACAAGTTTGCTAATGGAGGGGGAAGATGAGAACTGTAGTCCAGCATCACCTGGAAAGCCGCAGCCTTCCCTCTGGTCCACCACCTCCACCATTTTGCCCTGTTACAAGAGGACATAAGAGCACTCAGCTGTCCCTTTGCCCTTGCTCACCCCCCCTTTTGTTTACACAATCAAGGTGATTTTCAGAGAGTGGCACAGGGCTTGTTTATGCCTCTAAAGCACAGGAGGGAACCCTCCAGTCTGGACCTCAAGTGGCCCATGGAAGTGGCTTGTTCAGCCCATGGTCATGTGAGTGCTTACTGCTGGCAGCAATCATTGTGTAAAAGTGTGACCCCAAGACGTGAGTTCCGGCACTTTTTTTTTTTTTTTACAAAAAAAGCACTGTGTATATCCATCTGGGGATGAGGTTCTATCATTGTCCCCATTAGACAAACCAAAAGAACTTATTTGGGTTGTTACCAAATTCAGCTAGTCAACAACTAGGGCAAACCTGTGTGGACCCCAGACCCGAGTCAAAAGGACCCTGAGATGAGACTTAGAGCCAAAACCAGCTTTATTCTAGTGTACTATAGAATAAAGGGAGACAAAGGATGTTCAGCCCAAAGCATCGTCTCGAAAGTTGCACCCCGGTACATGCATTTTATACCCTGTATAAGTGATTAGGTCACCTAATACACACCTAATGCATCAATACATCAATGTGGCCACACCCCCACTGCTGTTAGCTTCAAAGAGTCTTTTCTTCTGTCAAGGACTGGACATTTCTCATGTCTATTTCTTATCTGCCAAGATTCACACAGGCTTGCCACGTTCTTACTCCCTGCACATTTGCAATCTTCATGGCAGCTAGAACTAGTTTCCACTGTCCCTTTGATACTTGAAGTCAGGCTAGCATGTTAGCTGTGGGTTACACCAAGTTCATGTTGTTCTTATCCCCTTCCCTTCTGAGACAGGTAATTCAATATGACTTTTCCTCCTCCTCTTGCATAAGAATAGTAATAATACATTATGAGTTGCTGCCTTTCCTTGAGACCCCAAATCCACCATCCAATGGAGGGACGGGCTCACTGTCCAAGGGCGAGAAGTGAAAGAACGTGGAGCTACGTGCGTCTCAGTACTGTCAAGGTCTGGATGAGAGATTGTCAGGGGGTCTGATGTGCCTTGCCCTGAATTCCATGATAGAAGAAAGGTGAAATATAAAATAAATTGAGGGGCAGCATATTCTGCTAACAAGCACCATATGGCCTGGCATTTGGGCCAAGAATGAAAGAAAACCATTGACTGCTCTTCAGTGTGCTTAATACCTTTAGAGTGCAATTCTATGCAAGCTTAGAAAGGAGTCCTACAACTTCCCAGCATACCCCAGCTATAGGGCTTACTTGCACACATACAGTCACACTCTTAGCAGCCAATGGACGTTTTGTATTCTTGCAGCTGGTGCCATGTGGCTTTCTCTAAGCATAAGGTAACTCATAAATGTGCACAACAAGAACTGCAACATAAATTTGCACACTATAATGGTGGCCATTGGAAGAATTTTTCATTTTAAACTGAATGCCAAGATGTAAGTGACTTTTAAGTGTAAAGCCTCATAATCCTACAATGAATATTTTTATGGCCATTTTTATTTAGATCACACTTGTGCTTCATTTCTCCCCTTTCTGCCTACATATTCCTGCCTTGAGGCAAGAACAGATGTGATATAGGAGATCCCTGGCCTGAATATTACATTTTAAAAAATAATAATGGCAGCCAGAGGGATGTATGTACAGATGTGTTTGCAATTGGGTCACTGTACTGAGAATGGAAGGATAACCAGCCTGCCACCACCCTAGTTCTGTATGCCATAATGCTGATTTACTAGGAAGTTGAGAAGATGCAAAATATCACATAAAGGTATGAGAGAGAGAGAGAGAGAGAGAGAGAGAGAGAGAGAGAGAGAGAGAG